TACATCTGATAAATTAAAAATTCTTATGTCCGCTGTACTTTTTTTGGGAACATCTCCTCCCTCCTCCTTTTCTCCTCTTTTCTGCTTTCTATTGCCTCTTCTTGTCGTCTCCTTTTTATTGGGGTCTGCACTTTTGTGCCTCCTTTTATTCGGGTCATGGTTTGGCCTAAAAAAAGGTCATCATCATTTATTTGCTGCAGATGACTATATCTATTTGTAGTTTGTACCTCCTTTCTATAATTTCTGTCTGGTGAGTACTGTTTATAAACTCTTTCATAATTATTTTTAGAAGAATTATTTCTTTCTCTCATCCTGGATTTAACTTGAATCCACCCTCCATCCTGTTCCTTCTTTTGTTGTACTGAATTTTGATATGGTCTATCCTCATCCCATTTCTTATATGGTTGTAAAGATGATCTATTTTCTTGTTTTAAAAAATTCCTTTTATAATTGTCTTTTCTATTACCTATAGGGTTATTCTTCCTTTGTGGTTTTATTTGACCTTTCAAATAATCCTCTTGGTCCCTCTTAAGTTTCTTTTTTTTAGTTTCAATTACTTTTCCTTCTATACTTTTAATCTTTTCTATAATCTTTTCCATTAAAAACTTCAGCTCTTCCATTTCCAGAAAGGGCTCAAGTTTTTTCTGTATATCATTTATTTCTTCATTCATTTGATGTAAACTTAAAGTACGTTGTTCAATAATGACAGTCATCATATGTCTAGCAAAAGATTCTAAGGCTCCATCCCAGGCCTCCCTAAAACTCTCACTTTCATTTTCTGAGGTAGGGGATTTATGAAACCTCAGACCTCTAGGTGCTATTTTTAAATCAACATATCTTTCCAATGTGAAAACTTCCCATTTATATTTCATTTCTTTAATAAGTAATCGTTCTAGCTTAAAACAAATTTCTCTTAATTCATCATTTTTCTTATTCGGAATTTTTTCCCATTTATCATCCTCTAATGAACCAAATCTTTGGTTCATATCATTCTGCCAACTTTTGCGAAAGCTAAAGATTGACATAGTAATATAATACCCTTTATCCCAAAGTGGAGTGTTATAAAGTAATATACACAAACTGGGGGGTTTTTAGGAAAAAGAGTATAATTGTGGTGCTACTATCACCTAGTGTGAATCACTCCAACACACCAAGATTAAATGTAGTGCAAATAAACAAATTGTGGTGAGAGCACTCAATGCATGCAATATTCAATGTTTTACCAGACCTTTTTCAGATGGTCAAATAAAACCACAAAGGAAGAATAACCCTATAGGTAATAGAAAAGACAATTATAAAAGGAATTTTTTAAAACAAGAAAATAGATCATCTTTACA